TTTAGAAGGTAAAACATTGTAGATAACACTGCACATAGTGGTTTGCAGGGACAGCCCATAGTTCCAGCAGGGAAGACACCTCAACCCAAAATGATAGGGATGAAGCACACCTCCACTGTTGAGTTCCAACTGTGGTTGGCAAAAAATATTATCTCCTAACTAAAAACAGGCACAAAACATGGCTACCCACAAACCATAAACTATCTGAACTTTTTTTACAGCCTCACACGCTGCCCACTGCCTCCCCCCCATTGCCTACCTGCTTGGTCCTGTTGCCTCCTCCTCTTTCTCTCCCTACTCCACTGACATTTTGAGAGACAGCAGCTGATCTTTCCTGCCAAAAGCTGGGCCTGCTTCCTCTGCCCATGTACCTCCCTATCAGCTTCTGGAAGGGAAGCCAAGCCTGCTGTCTCTCAAGATGGCAGTGGAGGCAAAGAACAAAGAGGAGGAGGCAACAGAGGCAGGGAGGCAATGGGGACAGTGGCAAGGGGGTGGTAGCAGGCTGTGGAGGTGGGGAGGGGGGGAAATGAATCAGGAAGTTCATTAAAATGTTTTTAAAAAGGTTTGTAGTTAGGTTCAATTCAGGTTTGTCACTTTTGACAAACCTGAAAAAATAAACCAGCAATTTTTATAAATCAAATAAATAAATCAAATAAATCAAATAAATAAATAAATAAATAAATAAATAACTTCCTAGTTTTGTTTTGTTTTTTAAACTTTGTGACCATCTCTGCTCCTAATGCATTTTTATCTTTTCTGTATTCTTTTAAGACTGATAAGGCTGTGTCAAGGTAGCCTTTTGTATTTTAGTCCATCCATGATCATCACTCACCCGAAGAGTAACTTTCTCCATCAAAGTGAGCATCTTCTCTAGGCAGAGAAAAGTTGCATAAAAGTAGCTGTAGCTGGATTTGAGTTTTCCAGCTACAACTACAGTATATCTTGAATAAGGTCAGAAGGTTGACACAATATTTTAAATTTTATGTTTTGTTTTATTCTCTGCTGAAGACACTCTGGAGGAGGAGATGGATTAATAGAGATGACTGTTGTTCTGAACAGTGTAGCCTACAGGGTTTTAGTGATTCCCTAAACAGCTGATAAGGAAGATTATTTCAGGCCCATCTCCAGGAAATCAAGTATGATTAGTTGCCATAGCTCTAGGTTTCAGTAACACATAGTACATTCAGCCATGATGGAGACCCTTGTAGGTGGATGACACTTCATAACAGGGTGAGAATCTTTGGACATTCAAATGTTGTGGACTATAACCCCGATAATCCTTTACTATTTGCCCTGTTGAGTGTGGCTGATGGGAGTTGTAGGTCACAATATCTGGAGAAGGAGAAAGAAGCTCCCTCATGTTGTTTTAAAGATGATGTTCTTGGATCTGTGAACCAGTCTCCTGTTGCCATTGGGTTAAATAAGAGTAGGAATGTACCCAGTGGCCACAGTAGTACCTTTGTAAAGTGATGGCAGCAACTCCACTTTTCCATGTGTGTGAAAAGATACACAGCCAGGCTGTTCAGGATGCTCCTTTATTCCCATCTTCCACTGCCGGTGAAAACTCTAAGCCTTTCTGCTCAGCTAAGGGCTCGGAAAAGCATTTGATCCTTAATGATGTCTCAGGCTGTGCTTTTGATGCAGCTATTATGCAGTGCATTTTTCCAATCATGTTGAGAAGACCATGAACCACTACCCATTAAGAAATGATTTCGTTGCCTCATTAGAGATGGAGATTGTTTAAATTTGCTCAACTAAAAGGAAGTCTTTGAAAGAGCTCCAGTAACTGTAAATGATACTTTCGTTATGAAACAGCCAATTTTGCGTTCCGTTCAATGCTAGTGACTTTTTTTTCCATCTGGAAGCACAAAATCATTACATGCTAGCTGCCCACTTCTTGTTTCACATAATTTGTACAGCCTGAAAATCTTGGTATAGCGCCCTTCCCTTTTCTAAATGGAAACTTAATGACCTAACAAGCTGTAGAAGAAAGAACAGGCAAACTAGACAA